TTAACTCTAATTCCTCTCTCTCTGAGTGAGGCCTTAAGATCCTTGATAAAAACGGCCTCTTTAGACAATGAATGGCCCATCTCGATGGGATGACATTCCAGGGATAATCTGTACTTTTGATATTTGATCTGCTTAGAGCTGGAGATGGCCTGAGTAGTGTCCACTGGCCTGGTAATTTGCCTGTTTGATGGTAGTCTTTTTTTGTTTGATAGTTTGTATTTTTGAAAATATCTCTATTTCACTGTCATTACCCACTACCTTTTTTGGCCCTTTATTTCCCAGCTTGTAATTATAAAAAATTTACTCCTGAAAAGTTTTAGTTATAAAAACAAAGAGAAGATAAAAAACAAAAAACAAAAAACAAGGACAACGAGCATCTGTAAAACCTCCACTAGGTTCCATAATTGTTAATATTTTGTCATATTTGCTTTTATTTCTTTTTATGTATCTCGGCATATCTCTCTATTTCCATATCTGTATTGCTATATCATTTAAAAGAAGTCGTAGACATCATGATACTCAATCTTAAACATGGCAGCATGCATTCCCTCAGACAAAGAATCATCTCCTTATAACCACAATACCATTATCACACATGAAAATTAACCATGGTGGAAGTCTTTTTAAACTGTGCATTCTGTCGCTGGATGGACTTCTAGTGGCCTGGAACTATAGGGGTGCAAGTGGCTTGCTGGAGACAGGAATCCCATACCGATCACGCTCTGTTTCGGGAAGACAAGAACAAGGGTGGTTGTCATAACTGGCTACAAGGATCTGAAGGGCTGTCATGTGGAAGAGGGAGCAGACTTTCCCTTTGGAGCTACAGAGGAGAGCATTTGAAACAATGAGTGGAAGTTTCAAGGAGGCAAATTGAACCTGGAATGCGGCTGCCAGCCTCATTCAGTGGTGAGTTCTCTGTCACTGGAGATACCTAGGGATGCTGTGGAGGGGAATCCTATTGGATAGAAACTGGTCTATAGGACTTTGAAGTCTCTTCCAATAATTCTTAAAGGATAAGGACAAGAAGTTCCAGAGAGACTCAAAAGGATATACTGGTTATAATCCAATTGTAATGGTTCTAGTCTATTTTGTCTACCTCAAACAAACTGATTATTCCATTAAGTGTTTTAAGGCTGGAATTTTTTTTCTCTGCTATTTACTGACTGACCATCTCATAGCCCTGGTTGTTTTTGGTAAATCCAGCAAATAATCTTTCTTCTATTTTCTGTTGGCTTGTAGAAAGGACCAGAAAACTCTGCCTTCTTTAAAAAGGAGGCTGGCATTTTCAATTTGGCAAAAGATTAGAGATAGAAAAAGATAAGTAAGTGAAATAAATTCACTTTCTATGTCTACTCCCTTTTGCCCCAGTCCAAGTGTCGGAACGGGTCTCTTTTCTTTTTTATTAGCTGCAAAATAAAAGGCCTCAAGGGATATATCACTGGAAGTAAGAGTAGCTTGGATTGAATTTATATCTGTGTCAGATAATGTGTTTCTAGAGATAAGAAGCATAATAGTTATTTTCAGAACTTCATGGGAGTTTGCTCAGTAAACTAATGAATGGGTATCACTGACAAGCATACCAAAGTGGAAATTATATGAAACTCTCATCTTATGAGAAACGGTAACAGAGGAGAAACTCTGGGCTTTTGCTTGGGGGCAGTTAATGTCAGTTCTAAAGGAGATTCATATTTTCACTGTTCCATTGAAGCCAATTCAATTTCATGCAGGAAGTTGCTGAGTGGAATTATATTTCTAGGAAGCCTCGGAATGAAGTGAAAAGCATTAGTAGTTCTTGACCCAGCTCCACTATTAACTGGCCTGGGCAAGTCCCTTTACCAAGTTTCATTTCAGCTTCCTACTCTATAAAATGTTCTTTGTGCATTTATAGACCATGAAGACAAAGGAGATAACAGTGATAAGAAAATTGAGTATATAGAATAATACAAATGTGAGGTATTGAATTTGCTGCCACCTTAAAGCTATCCCAGGCCTATGGGGTAAAAGTGAAGTAAGAACTTCCCTTAGTAAAACATGCCCAGAAGGTCTTATCCCCAGGTAGATAAGATGTGGAGTGAAACCACTTTAAACAGACCTGATTTCTAAGCAGGGTTAGGTTTGATCAGAAACCGATAAGATAAATATAGTTAATACAAATGTGTTCAGATCTTGTATCAAGGTCTTGGCATGTGGTCCTTGGTTAACACCTGCTTCTCTCAAATTTCTGAATGGCTTTCCATCTGGATCTGGAAGTCCCACAGCTTCTTTCCTCCAAGGCCTATTCTTGGCTTGCATATGACAAGTTTTTACAGCCTGCTTTCCTGTTCTGTTCTGCCCTGCTACCTCTGGAGGTCCTTTCCCCTACCTCTGCCTTTGTCTAAAGATCTTAATGGTGATGCCAAAGAAGGCAGAAGCTAGGTTTTTGCCATTTGACTTGCATTCCGTGTCAGACCTCACTTTTTCACAGTCGGGAGCTCAGCTCTCGGTTTTTGTGGCACCTCAGTATTCTTCCCGGGGATGTGTGGTGTTCCAGGCTGGCAGCATGCTGTGAACAATGAAAATTAAATTCTGTAGTCTCTTTAGATATGCTGTGACTTGGCAAGGGCTGAAAGCAAATCATGCACCTGCATAACCTTTTCAGCTTGACAAAGACTTGTGTCTCTCTCCACTCCCTCTCTCGCCCCTCCCTTCCACAGGAAAGGCTCCCAGACGACAGTATGAACAAGCCCTAATTAAGTCTTTCCTCGGATCCCGATGTCTTTTCCTCCAACCTTTTCTTGGGTTTAGATATGTAATTAAGAGGAAAGCAGAGAAGCAAAATCAGGTATGTGATGCAGCTGGAAATTGGGAGCTATCTGATCCGATGGCAAGTAAAGATTAGGACCTCTGCCCTGGCAGCCCTTTTGACAGTTTAAACAGAGCAAGAGTCATGATAAACTGATGGAGGAATTAACATGCTTTAGAAGGAAAAATAGGTTGCAGTTATATAACAACATTTTCTCAGACTTTTTGAGTTTCTTGCATTTTTGTCTGTCTCTGAATTAAGAGAATTTCAATGTCTTTCAGGCAATATTTAAAGATAATATATATAAGATGCTTTCCTAGGAAGTCTATGAACACATGTTTACAATTATATGCAAAATTTGGGCTTTTGTGTACTTATCTAAAAAGAGAGTCCATAGATTTTATCATGTCTCCATGGGGTTCAAGACCTACCTCTTTTCCTAAAGTTTAACAACCACTGGTATTAGAGAAGGGTAGAGACAAAATCTGGAAGGATGGCCACATTTGGAAGCCATGAAGAAAGGGTGGAGCCTATAAAAGTTAGAGAAGGATGGAGTCCCCAGGGAGCCCCGTGGGACACAGTACTCTGGAAGCAGATACATGTGGGCTCAGACCCTAGTGTCTTCATTTATTAATTATGCTGGCTGTGTGACCTGGGGCAAATTACATCTCTAAGACTCAGTTTTTTCATTTATAAAATGGGATGATAGGCTGGGCGCGGTGGCTCACGCCTGTAATCCTAGCACTCTGGGGAGCGGCGTTGTCAATGCGCTCAGCCGAGGTTCAAAACCACCATGAGCAAGAGTGAGACCCCATCTCTACTACAAAATAGAAAGAAATTATTGGCCAACTAAGATATATAGAAAAAATTAGCGGCATGGTGGCGCCATTGCCTGTAGTCCAGCTACTCGGGAGGCTGAGGCGAGGAAGATTGCTTGAGCCCAGGAGTTTGAGGTTGCTGTGAGCTAGGCTGACGCCATGGCACTCACTCTAGCCTGGGCAACAAAGCGAGACTCTGTCTCAAAAAAAAAAAAAAAAGATGGATGATAGAGCCTACTTCATAGAGCTGTTGCAATGATTGAGGCTATCCATATAGGATGCCTCCCTGCTTCGATGTTGATTTCTGTGTGTGTATTTCTATGGTCTCTATCTCTACACATGTATTTTGCATTTTCATATTCACTTTTTTTTTTTTTTTGAGACAGAGTCTTGCTTTGTTGCCCAGGCTAGAGTGAGTGCCGTAGCATCAGCCTAGCTCACAGCAACCTCAAACTCCTGGCTCAAGCCTACTGCCTCAGTCTCCTGGATAGCGGGACTATAGGCATGTACCACCATGCCTGGCTAATTTTTTCTCTATATATTAGTTGGTCAATTAATTTCTTTCTATTTATAGTGGAGACAGGGTCTCGCTCTTGCTCAGGCTAGTTTCGAACTCCTGACCTTGAGCAATCAGGCGTGAGCCACCGCGCCTAGCCTTCATATTCACTTTATGCCTCTTTCTAGGCCAAGTGCAGGCCCAGAAGGCTCTGAGTTCTGCTCTATTTATTTATTTATTTATTTTTGGCTTTAGGAAAATAATCAGTGTGAGCTGGTGTCCTTGGCTGAATAGGCTTCTTCTGGCTCCTCCAGGGCCTGTTTGCCGGCCAGGCTGTCAGCCACATATTTGCACTTTTCCATCCAGGGTAGGGAGCAGTAGAGGCTAGGAGCCTGGTGCTTGGAGCCAAGCGAGCCAGCCTCCTTTGGGAAGGAGACACCAAGTGAGCCCTAAGAGGGACAGTCTGTCTTCCGCAGTGGCCCAGATAGCAGAAGTCTCGGCAGCTGCCTCCGTTGTGATCTACTTCCTTTTGTAATTTGCACAATAGGCCAGAAGATGGGGCTCTTGACCCTGGAGTCAAGGGCCAGAGGCTCTGACATTTTCCCACATTGGAACTGGAGGAAAATCAGATCCACCAGAGCTCCCAGGAATCACCTCTACTTCTTCATTGCTTTCCCTGCCCTGCTTACTTCACTTCTGCCAGGGGTGGGACCCATCTTCCAGGGGAAGGGGGAATGTGGGCACATTTTTCTTTTGGCCACTATCCTTGGCTCCTCCTGAATTATCACATTGCCAGAGTCAGTCTAACTGACTGCCCCTCGCCTAAGGTTTCCCTCTTTAATCTATCCTGCACTAATGGCAGATGATTTCAGAAATGGTACTTTTCTTTTTTTTTTTTTTTTTTTTTGAGACAGGGTCTCTCACTCTGTTGCCTGGGCTAGCTGCAGTGGGTCATCACAGCTCACTGCAGCTTCAAACTCCTGGGCTCAAGGGATCCTGCTGCCTCAGCCTCCTGAGTGGCTGGGACTACAGGCATGAACCACCATGGCTGGATAAGTTTTCAATTTTTTCTAGAGATGGGGTTTTGTTATATTGCCCAGGCTGGTCTCGACTCCTGGTCTCAAGTGGTCTTCCCACCTTGGCCTCCCAAAATGCTAGGATTACAGGTGTGAGCCACGACACCCAGCCCTGGTACCATTTTTATAAAACCAAACTTCTCACCTCTTCAGAGAAACTCCCCCCACCCCATGCCAGTTACTGTATCACATAACCCTTTATTACTTCATAGTAACTATTATAACTTGTAATTATCTTGTTTTATGACTTACTTACTCTCTCCCCATTCCATTGTAAGACTCATGAGGCCAAGGATTCTGTTTGTTTTATTGCTGATTTCCCAATACCCAACACAGGGTTAGATACATAGGTTCTCATAAACGTGTTTTGAATTAATAAATGAATAATTGAATCCCAGCTGAATGGCTGCCTGACCTTGAGGAAGTTGCTTAACTTCTGTGAGCCTCAGTTTTCTTACCAGTGAAATGGAGAAATAACAGAGATGTTATGACTGTTAAATGACACAATACATTTATACCACTAAACCCAGGGCCTGGTCCATGGAAGTGTTCCTAACACCTTCAGCAGTGTCCTACTTTCTGTCATATAAGAAAAACAAAGCCTGAACTAATTAGCCGGCTCTATAATTTGAACGCTGCCTTTCTTTATGACAACTTTTACTCCCTACTGCTTTTCTCAATAACTTTCTGCTCTGGCCTGAATTGTGGCTACCCTGCGTGGGCCATATCCATTACTACTCTTTTTTAAAAATAACTTTAATTTTAAATGATTTTAATTAATTAATATATTTTTAGAGACAGGGTCTCACTCTGTCACTCAGGCTGGAATGCAGTGGCACGATCATAACTCACCGTAGCTTTGAACTCCTGGGCTCAAGCGATCCTTCTGCCTCAGCCTCCTGAGTAGCTAGGACTAGAGGCACACACCATTATGCCCAGCTAAGTTAAAAACAATTTTTTTTTCAGAGATGGAGTCATGCTATGTTGCCCGAGTTGGTCTTTAACTCCTGACCTCAAGCAATCCTCCTGCCTTAGATTCACAAAGTGCTGAGATTATAGGTATGAACCACCACACCAAGCCTTGCATTACTACTCTTAAATCTTTGCCCAAAGCTTGAGATGTTTCCTCTCCTTACCTTGACTCAACTAAATCTTATGCATATTTTCAGACTTAGCTCAAACTCATATCCTCTGTGTCACCTTCCTGAAGTGCCTTTAAGTCATAAAGATCATTTTCTTTTCTGAATTTTTGTAATCTTTGTTATTTATATTATTCATATGGCTCTTATTCTATGTTGTATTGTTTTGTCATTGTATTAACATATATCCTGTTTCCCACATTAGACTGTTAAGCTCCTTGGAGATACATATTTTAGATTTCTCTGTATTTTCAGTGCTACTGAGACCTATATGTTAATAGGTATTCAACATATTTTTAATTAGATTGAATTAAAAAGCATGTGTATTTTCTAACTACTTTCTATGTGCCTAGCACTCTTTGAGACTCTGGAGTATACAGATGGGCATAAGAAAAATAATCATCACCTTCAAAGACCTTATAATGTTGTACTAAGCTAAAGTCAACATATAAAGTACTTAAATAACCACAGCATGGTAACTGCTGTAAGAAAGGTCTGAAGTGCTATGAGGATTCCGAGGAGGGAGAGATGACATCTGTTAGAGATGTCAGGAAGAGTGAAATAAAGAAGGGCTTCTTCGAAGAGGTGGCCTTTGAAGGACAGTCAAGATTTTGATGGGCAAAAATGGGGGTGAGGGTTGAATGCAAATTCCAGATTCTAGGGGGACAATTACCAAAGAGATGGACAGAGAGTGTGGCAAAGAACACTAAAACTCAGAGACTGCACATGGGGCTTATGCAGAACATCAGAAATATGGTTCTGCTTCAGGGATTATGAAGCCCAACCTTGTTTCCAATTTCAGGGCTAATGCAAGAGATGGTATTCAGGGACCAAAATTTTAACATGTACCAGACTATGTTCCCCAAGTGCAGCTTCTTTGGAGGCTGAGAACTATTTGCAACAACTCTTTCCCCCTAATAATGTGGACTCGCCTACAGCCTGTTGTGATAGTACATACAAAACAAAATGCTCCTTTCCTCCTCTTAGGGATATAGAGTTGTTAACGATTTTAGCCAGCCTCTCTTTTCTTTCAAACCCAAATCAAATTGAATGCATTATTCACGATTTTCTAACCTTGCCTTACATCATTAGTTCTGCTGTTAAATAACAACTTGCCTTACATCATTTCTTGGAAAAGTTGGAAGTGTTTTTGTAGAATGACTTCAACAATTATCCTTAGCTCAACTCTCTGCTTTTTGCTGCCAACCCGAGACTCAGGGAGAACACCTAAGTCATAGTGAGTGTGCGAAGGGGCCTGATCACTGCCTGCTTGCTTCTCTTTAATGCTATTTGATCTGGCCACTAGCTCAGGGATTAACAATTAATTTTAGAAGGCCCTCTCCCCTCGTCCTCAATTACTTCCTCCTGCAATTCTGAGGGACGTTTTCCCAAAATTTAAAAATCACCTCCTAAGGAATAAAATCAGAATAGGCAAAACCGACCCTTTCCCAGTTTTCAAGGGTCAGGTGCAGCTGCAAACAGAAGCAAGAGATTTTCAATTTCCAGCAAGCAGTTGGAAGGACCTTCAAGCCCAGAGGCCCCTGAAGGGAGGGAGGCGGTTTCCACGGCAACCGGGCCCTGGAGCTGTTGGTTCCTCCGGCTCCCTCCTCCTCCTCCTGGTAGCCCCGGGTACCGCCGGACAGCGTCCTCCCGTGCTCCGCGCCCTGATTGGCTGCAAAGGCCGCTCGCTGATTGGCTGCGGCGGATGCCTCGCGGGCCGGTGGCTATGGAGGCGGCGGCGGTTGATGGTTGACCGTTGGCTCCAGGGTAGGGGTCGCCGCTCGGGCGATCGGCTCAGACTCGACCAGACTGACGCTCGGCCTGGCCCCCGTGGGGGAGAGCTAGTTCGGCTCCGCCATGCCGGCCGGGAGCAACGAGCCGGACGGCGTCCTCAGCTATCAGGTAGGGCTCCGCCTCCCGCCCCTCCCCGGGGCTCAGCCTCCTCGTCCTCTGCCCACCCTCCTTCCTTCTGCCCCCGAGCCCGCCCGGGCTTCCCAGGCCACTCCCCGAGGGCGCGGGGAGGCCAACCCGGGACACCAGAGGGCGCTCCGGGCGCTTGGGGCTCGGCCGGGGTTGCGAGAGGGTGACCTTGGCCCGAACCGGGGAGCCGGCCCCTCGCTGCCGCATCCCTTGCGCCGCCCAGGAGCCCCGACGGCCGGCGGGCGGTGACCTCTGTTCTCCTCGGGTCTTCCCTGTTGGAAGAGGCCGGCTCTGGCCTCGCGTCGTCCTGCTGGAACGTGGGCAGAAAGGGTGCCCGGGGACCTTGCCCTGGTGGGGCAGGTCTTCTCTTTGTGTTTTTATTTCTGGGGGTTTCAGGTTCCTCAGTGGCTTGAGGAAGGGCCAGAAAGACTGGAGCCAGGGACCAGTCCCAGTTAGTGTGGCCAGCTTTGTGAATCCCTCTGTCTCATTGCATAGACGCCTGCCTATGTAATTGAGGTTCTGGGTAGCGAAGCACAAATGGGCTGGGGAAGTGTCGAGGGGTCAGGAACAGGTGCTTGTTTAAGGGAATGAGAAAACCAGGTTTAAGTAACTGGTACTGTTGGGGTTGCTAATGTAAGGGAAAGCATTGAACTGGGTGTTAGAGTCTGAAGGTTCAAATGCTACATCTGCCTCACCCAGGCTTTTGTGACCTTGAGTAAGTCACTTGCCTCTTTGAACCTGTTTCCCCGTCTATTAAAATGGGAATGGTATATCTGTCTTGTCTACCTCACAGGGTCGTTTTGAGGGTCAAACAAGGTGCTATTTGTGAAAAGGCTTTGTGAAATAATGTTTATGGTGTGACAGCCAGTTAGTGAGTGGTAGCTCATTGAATTCTCACTTCCCCTTTCCTGTGCAATCAGATGGTGTGGTTACCGTCCTGGAAAGAGGTCTTGAAGGGGAGTCAAGTCTGAAGTGGAGGGCTGTGAAGAGGATGATGGACCATCTTAGGAGGGATGACAGGTCTCGGAAACAAGTGGCATGTTGACGTCAGGGATGGTTTTCAGCAGGGAAAACATTCTGAGTTAGTAGCAAAATGGGTACCAGATGGTGACTGTCTCCTCTCCTCTTCTTCCTGGTAATAGTTTGCTACTTGAAGAGCCATACTTCAAGAAAGTATGCTGCTTGCTTACTTGCTTCTTTGCTTGCCCAGTCAAAAGAGGAACAATATCTAAAATTTTGGAATATTTTCCATATTTAATCCTCTTAAAACCTATTAAGTGCATTTAATCTCTGTTTGGGATACAATGATGAGCAAAAATAGGCAATGTTTTTGCCTTCCTGAAGCTTACCATCTAGAGGGGAGAAGTGTAACCATTTCTAATCAAATAATCACACAAATAAATATTATAAACTATGATAAGTGCTTTGAAAGAAAGATAGTGCTATGAGTGTATATAACTGTGGTTCCAGCCTTGGTCTCAGATCAGAGGAGATTTACTAAGAAAGAAAATTTGAGCAAAGAGCTAAAGACTAAATAAATGTCAACTGAAGGAAGAGGGAGCTCAAAGGGCCTTGGAGGCCAAAGAGAACAACATACACAGAGGTCCTGTGGCAGAAAGGGCCACATCTGGTTAGAAGACCTGAAAGAAGGCCAGTGTGGTGGAGCCAGGGGGAGTAATGAGGGGAATGGTATGAGACGTATTCTGGGATCATAACGTACAGAGCCTTATAGTCTATACCAAGGAAGTTGATATTTATCTGAGGAACAAGGGGAAGCCACTGGAAGGGTTTAAGCAGGAAGGGGGAAAGGGAGGGAGAGAGGGAGAGAGAGAGAGAGAGAGAGAGAGAGAGAGAGAGAGAGAGAGAGAGAGAGAGAGAGAGAAACAAGCACTGAAGAGAGCGAGCGAGATGTGATCAGTTTTCCTATTGAAAGGTTGCTTTGGCTACAGTGGGGAGAATAGGCTGGAACGCCATGTGAGGAAACAGTGTCCTTAACAGTCCACAGTGTGTACTGGTTGTATTATTGAGGGAATAATTATGGGGGGGGGCCGCTTAGGTTCTGTTTTAGTGTTCTGTGAATTGGTATTCGTGAGTGCTTCTAGGGTGGGCTGGAAGATACAATTATCTTCCCTTACAGCTAGTTTTGTGAAAAATTTGGGTGGTGTATGAGAAGAGGAAAAGGATAGATTGGGAACAATAGACCTCATGAAGGCTGGAGTCAGGTAATCGGGGCAAATAAGAACCTGAGAGAGAGGGAAGAAAAAAGAATGAAGGTAGAGGAGGACCAGGAAATGGGGATGACTCAGAGGAGACACAGTCAATTGATTGGCCATTAACCAACTAAAGCTCCTGTGTTGCCAACTAGACTGTGTGCAGGGAAGAATGGGTGCTTGCAAAGTGAGTAAGATTGTGGAATTTTCATGTAGACATCACCAATTTAAATATCATAAGTCTACTGCTGCTTCTTCCTAAGTGGTCGGACTAGCTGCCTTAGCCTTCTACTAAAGTTCCCCTCTGCTTTCTTTCTCATCCTTAACCTACAGTCCACTTCAACATGTTAGCCACAGGGAAGCTTCCCTAAAAACCAAAATCATCAGATCTTGTCATACCTCCAATCTCCAAAAGAAAATTCAGTGCTTCCCAGTGCATTTTAGAATAAAATCCAAACTCTTTATAATGGTGCTACCAAGCTTTAACATGATCAGGCCCTTGCCCCCCTCCCCCAGGACTGCCTCCTCCTACTCCTCCACCGTGCACTACTTCTCTGGCTTCCCTTTCTATTTCTTTTAATTTTGTTCCAACGCCTCCTTTATACTCCAGGAGCTTGCTCTTGTCATTTCCTCCAGCCCTGGGACACAGTTCTACCCCCAGGCCCTGTTCAGTCGACTCAACTTGAGTGGCGCCTCTTTCCGAGTGCTTTTTCTGATCTTTACCACTAATTTTCCTCTTCAATATGTCTTGTTTTACTGTTCTGATTTAAATGTTTCTTTTTTTTTTTTTTTTTTTTTGAGACAGAGTCTGCCACTTTTGCCCAGGCTAGAGTGAGTGCCATGGCGTCAGCCTAGGCCACAGCAACGTCTAATCTTCCCTGGCTCAAAGCGATCCTCCTGCCTCAGCCTCCCCGAGTAGCTGGGACTACAGGCCATGCGCCACCCATGCCGCTAATTTTTTCTGTAATATATTAGTTGGGCCAATTAATTTCTTTCTAATTTATAGTAGAGACGGGTCTCGCTCTTGCTCAGGCTGGTTTCCGACACTCCGCTGACCCTTCGAGCCAACTGCCGCCCGTCTCCCGGCCCTCCCCAGAGAGCTAGGATTCCACAGGCGTGAGGGGCCACCGCGCCCGGGCTTGAGTTTATGTTTCCTTACATAGCTATATACTCCATCCAGAGGTAGAGGAGGGGGAAAAAAAGCAACATGTAAGCTTATTGGAAGTGTTTCTTGTTTTTTTTCTTGTTTTATTATTTTTTCAGAGGCCTTGCCATGAGAGCCAGGAGGCCAGACAAAAAATCTTATCATCTAGGGCGACAGTGTCTGTATAAATGGTACTCAATTGCATGAGTAAAATGAACAACTCTGGCACACCCAAGCAGCCAAGGTGCTCTCTTTGAGGAATCCATGGTCTATATATGGATGAGCACAGAGCAATGGATGGCCATACTAGCTGTGATTAGCACAAAGGCCTCTCCTTCTATTACCGTCCATAACCCTTTGCTGCAGGTGTTGAAGCGTAGAAAATCTTTCCCCTTCCTCTCACCCTAGAAAGTTTTCATTTTAACGCATCCAAGTTTTGGCTGCATATCACTGTTAATCAACAATTCATCACTCCAGTTTTCCGCTGCTCACGAACACCTACGCAATGTGCTATCACTTCTCCACCCACGTAACTTATGAATATAGCATACTTCCATCCTCTGCTACTCACCTGAGGCCTGCCCTTCTGTTGTTACTGCCAGTTTAACTTTTTACTGATACTGTCATGTGCCAGGCCCCCTGTGCTAAGTGTTTTTCTGTGCATTATCACCATTTAATACTGCTCTATACCCCCTGAGAATTACCATGTTTTCCCGAAAATAGTTCCATATTCCAATAAAATAAGCCCTGGCAGGATTTCCTAAGCATTTCGAAGTAATAAGCCCTACCGAAATAAGCGCCTAAAAGTGATGAGTGTGGCTACGCGGCATATCTGCATAAACCAATAGCCATTTTCGTCGTGGAGCGGTAGAAAAGACAAGTAGCCCTTCTCATCTGCCCATGAGAGCTCTATTGCTCAACATGAGAGATTGGGGCCAATGGTTTCTAAAGGAAATAGAGTCCAAGAAATTCAGGATGAATTTGGGGTTTGGAGATTATGAATTGATGTTGCCCAGAAGAAGACGACTTAACCTATCACTTTGAATAAATGTAGATTGTTGTACTGTACTTAAAAAATAACACACCCCTGAAACATAAGCCCTAGGGTGTACTTCTTGAGGAAAAAAAAAATAAGAACCTCTGTCTTATTTTTGAGGAAACACGGTATACTACCCTTTTATTATCGCCATTTTCTAAATGAGGAAGCTGAGATATAGAGAGGGTATAACTCCCCTAATAAGTGGCCAGAGCTGCCGTGGCTCCCTGCCCTAAATCCATTGAGCCGAGTGGTGCCTAGGAACTGAAAGGAAGGTCCAGGGAAGGGTGGAGTGCAAAGGGGGAAAGCAAGTGAATTCGGGCAAGGCTTTTA